AATATCCATTGTCTCAATTTTAATATGAAGTTTCTAGGAACTTATTGTTTATCTGACAAAATATTCTAATTTTGTAATATATACATTTGTTGATTGAGGAAAACAAATAGAATTAAACCAATAAATGATGTCTAGGCAATCAGCCCGTTTTCCACCTGGTCTGAACTCGCATTATGGAACACGAAAATGTCAGAATAAAAAAAGGCTACAAGGGGTCAGTTTGAAAGCTTCTATTCTAGTGTATTAAGTCACCACTCCACTAAAAGCCTCCGTGATCATTCCAAAAGAGGATCCCTAACACAACCTTTTGGTTAGCCATTCACCAAAGTTGAATAAGACACTAATGAGATGCATTCACTTTCCACCTTCTTCACAATTCTCACCACTCCAAAAACTGTTTTTGCCATTAGGTTTTGAGGATTCTATCCCTACTATAGAAATCAGTTATACTTCAATACTTCTTTATGCTCATGATATCTTTCCATAATTGCATGTCTCTGTGTATGTGTGTATGCACCACACTTGTTGCGTGTGAGTCTTACTCTCTTTCTATATGCATGCACCCACATGGTAGTTGATATTAATTGATCTCTCAGAGTTTTCGGAGATTACTTCCCTTCGTGTGCTGACAAAGCCTACTTCTTGTTGCAGGAAATAGTCACGATGCCTTTCAATCATTTATCTGGAAAGTCTGCTTTCCACTGCTAAATATTCTAAATACCAATAATTATGAGCTAATTAATAAGGTAGGAGGCATGTTTATATGATTCCACATTATATGCTTTGTTTCTTGTCTAATTTTTTATGGAAAATTTTGTAATATTAAGATTTTTTGTTGCCATCATATTTTTCTTATTGTTGTTATTGATGAAGTGCACTCCTAGATATTTTTGATCCCCATGCAACTACAATATATGTTTAAAATGGTTTATATATGTTTAAAATGGTTTGGCCAGCTCTCTCTCATCAGAGATCTGCAAATTTGAAAAATCTATTGTGACATTAGTTCCAAAAGGCAAGTGGTATTAGGGATTATAATTTACTTTGCATTTGGATGGTGCAGGTTGGCTAGTTGGGCTATGTCATGGTCATTCTCAATGAAGAAGAATTACCCTAAACCACAAATGGATCCTGTGGTCATGGCCGATTTAATTTGGACCGAGGTCAAGGCAATTCTAAATGGCATGTATATTTTGTCTAAAGAGTTACTAGGCCTGGTCATAGGTTACACTGATTCTGTAAATGTGACTGAATTGTTAAAAGAAGAGCCTAGGAGGGCTGTTTGTGTAATGGAGAACCCAATGGCAAATTGTTGCATCATGGAAATTGTTCTTTTATCCGGGGAAGTTAATGTGCGAGCTATCTAGCTGATACAAGTTATCTTAATAGGTTCATTGGGGTTGTGGAATTTCTTGCTACTTTAGGTTTCCTTAATATTGTATTGCATATTCTTATGAAATGATGCATGCTTTCTTTCTATTGTACTGTTAATTGGGGCGTGTGCCATTTTGGTCTTGTCAATTGAGGTGTATAACCTTAATCCTGTGGCTTTCCTTGGTTTAAGGAAACGGTAGAGCTTGAATAGCTATATTCTTATGTGATGAATTTTGGTGCTAATTTAGGAGCAATTTATGTGAGAAAGGCAGTGTTGCATGAATATCTGGTGCAAAGATTTTTGGCATTGGAGGAATGGTGAAGAGGTTGTTACAAGTTTGGCATGGGGTCATGGGCATTTCTTTGTAGGACTTTTAATTTCTGGATCACATTCGGGATTGGGAGTTATTAATGGTGTTGGGATGCTATTGAGCATCTGTCTTTGGGTACTAGTAAAGAGTGATGGTTATTTAACCACCATATGTGCACTGGAGAAAAACTATGACATGCTGATACAAGGTGCAACTTTCAAGTGTTTTCAGCATGTTTTTATTACAGCCCTCTGTACACCTCTGTCTTAGATGTGTTGCCCTGATTTTTTCCCCACAGTACAATACAAAAGGAAAGGAAAGAGAAACAGAGAGAATGGTCCGAGATACCCTTGCTGCCACGTTTTCAAAACAGTTATAAGAAACAGCTAAAAATCAGCAGATGAGATTATTCTTTAAATTGCTGAGTCACCATCTAGGACTTTATAACTCCTTATATGATGTCCCTGCAATGATGGTGCACCTTCGGGGCTGCAAGTTCCCTTCCACTTTGTTTTGGGTGAAAAGTTTTTCAGGCACAGTGATCTAGGTTGCAGGCCTCCTCTGATATCTCACACGAGGACATTATGAAGACCTCTCCATGCCTCACACACCCCATGCATATGCCATTTCTTTCTCTGACTTTTTCCCTCTCCCAAACCTTTTGGAAGCTCAAGCACATCTTCTTTTTCTTAGAGAACTCACCATGTGACCCTCCCCTTAGATGCCCTCTAAATTCTCTATATTCTATAAAGGTGTGAGGTACCCTTTATATAAAGGTGTAAAGGGCTAGATTGGATACAAAGAGAACTTGCTTTCTTGTTCTAATGAAAGATTTATGGGGTGAGAGTGGCTATATCCAAGCCATCCATCCTTGACCAACTATCATGGATCAGTGGTGCATATACACCATTGTCCGTATGTAGATTTTATCCCATCACTCTTCCAATCCAAGTTGGATTCTACTAAAACCTTCCATTGGATTTCGTAATTTGAGTAGGATTCCTTATTAGAAATCTTTCTAGGATCTAATTTTAACCAACTTCGACTGTGAAATCTCTAACTAACTAAATCTTGAGTCACTTAGGTAATATTAACATTAGACATAAATTAAAAGTAAATTGGGGGCACACGCTACCCAGGGAAGAACTATTCACATACCGCCCATGAGGCCTTTGAGTGCCACGTGGCCCCAATCATCGGTGGCGTCCATTTGGCCTTGATTTAAAATTCACGTGCCCACTTAAAGACCCATAATACATGGCCTACAAGTTGCTCACATAAATTCCATAAACTAACCTCTATTGAAATATTTATTTAATTTTCTAATATTACCCCTATTTTAGAACCAAAATTTTGTTCCAGAAATTCCCTTATTCTAAAAATTAATTTGATTGCACAAAATCACGATGAATAATTTGAGAAAATAAAACCTATGTTATTTTTCTCAAAAACCCTTGAAAAGCCATATGAAAATACTATTGAGAGAGTATGCTAGCAATGAGATGAAAGTCTAACTAGGCACTCCATGGTTACCCTACAGTAACTCTAAACCTCAAGCCAACCCAACATAGCCGTGAACCACATGTCTCTCATACAAATTGGCTCAAGATTGGCCTATTAAAGCTGACCAAGGCATGGAGGAACCATGGTACAACCACACGTTCCAGGTGCTCCTCCACCAAGGATATGGGTAGTCAAAAAGACCTAGTCAATTCACACAGAAAAGACACAAGCATATCCACATTTCTAATCACTAAAATCCGTGCTCATGAATCACACATAACTGTTAGATATAGTGGGAAACACATAGGCCTCATGGACCGCACAGGTCTACAGATATCAATGTGCATGATGGGAAGATGATGTGAGGCTTTAAGGTCTTGTCTTTGCAGACAACCATTCTCAACATAGAAGCTTTGTTTCATCTCTTGGCTAAAACAATAAACCGCTGGGCTGCAACCAACCTTGACATGACACCGGCTGCCCATAACAGTGACGCATCTGTGCACAAAGGCCACAACTCAGGATGCAGGATTTCCATTCAATCTAGCCAAGTTCAAGCTGCAGACTAAGGTGAGAGTGCATGCGCTTATGACCCATATCATCCATAGAGCATGGCACTTAAGCTGAAACTGCACACACATAGCTCACTCACATGGCCTGTTTCATCCATGGAGGATCACACTTCTGGGAGTGTAAAAACATGAGTACTCATGCACATAGGAACATATGAGAGCTGAAAACTGAAAATCATGTTACAAGGCACTTAGCTTTTTTTTTTTTTTCCATTTTATTTTTAAAGTGTTTTTTTTTTTTGGGTGGCTCAGTGGGGAGAGGGCCCCTACCCTTGGTAGGAATTGAGCCTAGGACTTAGTCATCAAGCGCTAACAGTGGGAATGGAGCCTAGGGCGTTATGTTGGGGCACTTGGCCCCCAACCATCGATGCTCCGACCCGTTCCCTATGAGGCCGTTAACTTTAAAGGCCACAAACCCCAAAAGAGGCTTCCAGCTGGAGTGGTGGCTCCCATTCCTAAGGATGTTTATAAGTTTCTCCGTTAAGGGCAATAATTATTTGACAATGAAAATGATGGGGGTTTCCTTGTTGTGTTTCTCTTTGTCCAATTTAGTGGCTTCTCCTTGGTAGAGCATGTTACATAATGTTCTGCTGAGGGGATCTCGTTCTTTTAGTGCTTGGCTGGGGAAATGGCCTTGAGTATATTCAAACATTGATTTGCAACTTTGCGATATGTCCTATCACATGGGTTGGAAGAGATTATCTCTTAATTCATACTTTAATGCAGGTTTACTCAGGGTGTTTTGGGGTGTCTTAACAAGGTTATTTAGAGATGTAAAGAACATCTCCTTGAATTGTTGGAAAAGCAGTAATACGGAACAAATACTTCAATTGATCATAGCCAAATGCTTAGAAAGATATTAAAATCAGGAGTTTCTGGGGGCAAATTAGTTTGCTGATAAGTTGGCATATATTTGGGTAGTTATTTTCTAAAAGGTGTACGCTTATTTTTCAGGTTGTGTTATTTATTGTTGTAAAGATTCTCTTTAGATATAAAAATGCCTCCATTGATTTCCTTACTTTAATATCTTTGCCCCCTTGTTGCTTTGTAAGTCCTTTAATATCTTGCTAAAATGAGGACTTCTTTCAGATTTCAGAAATATTATGTGAAGTCGTGGTAGAAACCAATGCTTGGCAGAATGTGGAAGTGACTATTGTACCATTTTGTTTAAATTCATTGGTTCTCTCTATCGGTAAGCTTCAAATTGAGGAACGGGAATTGCAACAAGGTAGATTCTCATCACTGGAAGGACAAGATGACATGCTAAGTTCTCAGGGCTTTCACCAGGGAGATGCCCTACTTGAGTATGGATCTTGTCCATTGTCCATTGCTTGCCATGTACTATCTTCATTGTTGCTTTCTGCCATCAATGTTAGTCGAGAAGATCAGACATCTGAAAAACCAAAAGATCAGCACCCCATGGATGCTGTCCCCATGAAATTTGCAAAACAGGTGGTTGAGGATCTCTCTGATCTTGTAGTCTGCATGCTTTCACAGCGTTCGGATGATTTGCTTCGTTCCTGTGCAATTCGAGTCCTCCTTCCATCCATTTTTGAGACATATGATGTGCTTCCATGTTTTGGAGGTTCTTTGCTTGTGAAGGCATTTGTCCTTTCTAGGTACTTCAACCTTGCTGATGTTATATATCTTTGCTGATTTACTTTTAAAATTTCCATACAACTGGAAATGGTTTGAAGATGTGTTTAATTGTTATAAATTTATTGTTTTTGTATGATCTGATTTTGATGTCAAATGCATGTGTACTTTTACACTCATATTGTACCTTGACAAACTGATTACGGTTTAGCTGTGCAGGGCGTGCTTTTCTAGGGCTGTTTGGAACTGCTGCAGGTGTCTGTTTCTTCTTGGACCACAAGAACGACAAGATGCATACCTTCTCTTGTCTCTTTGTCTTCGCTCTTTTTTTCCTATTAAAGGATGTGACAACCTCTTAATTGGGAATGATGCTGAGGAGTTTGATGTGCGTTTGGAGAAGGAGTTTTGGGAAGAATTACGGAGAGGCCTGGTATATGATGTGTTTTATTCTCAACTTTCTTCTATTAGTTGAATAATCAACATTTACTGAAAGTTTTGCCTTGTAATGCCTTTATGGCCATTTTTTGGCTATGCTGGCTATCAGGTCGATAAAGATGCTTTAATGAGAAAGCGGGCATTGCATATTTTGAAATTGTCATTGGACAATTTCTCTGGTCCTTCTGCAAGAGATGGCAACTTTTCTGGTTCAGAGATGTATGTGGGTTCTAAGATTGAGCATAAAATGCCTGTTGAAAAAGCTACTCCCTGTAGTATGACTAAGAGGGGCAAATGGGCTGAAGAGGAAGCAAAATCTTTGGGTGTGGGGAGGATGAGCAATTCTGACAATCATTGTTTGAGTGGCAGGCAAAGATGGGATGCTTTTATCCTTCTTTATGAAATGCTTGAAGAATATGGCACACACCTAGTCGAGGCAGCATGGACTCATCAGGTCAGTTCTAACTACCTGCTAGTGCGCGATTATTCAGTTCTTAGAAATGCTTGAACTTCGTGGGGTATCTGTTTCTATCCTCTCTTATACACCGACACTCTGGTAGTTGGAAAGAATGCTTGTCTTGCTGATATAGTTTGGTCGGTCTTCTATCCTGTGGTTTTTGCAAATTTTCCTCTGAGGAACTGATTGGTTCAATTATAGAGTACAAATATGGTTGATGAATATCCAGTGTTTTTGGACTTGGAGGGCGAGGCTGAGTTGTCCCGAGTACCTTGTCCTGAGTACAAGGGAGCTCATAAACCAAATGTTTTAGGGTTCTTGCAAGCAGAAAAGAATTTCTGCCAAAACCTTGATGTCTCTCTCATCTCTCAGTTATTTTTTCAGATTTTTGAGCCTTGTTGGAGCTCAATGAATCCCCTACAAAAACCATATTTTGTCTTTAGTTTCCTTGGTCAAATCTGAGATTGTGATGGCTTAATAGAGGGACCTCTGAAGAACCTGTAAGATCCGCCAAATCCTAGGTTTCTATCTCATTTCTCAGTTATTTTTTTTATTTTTTATTCTTGTTGAAGTTCTTCGAATCCCCTACAAGAACCCCACATCTGTATTCAATTTTCTTGCTCAAATCCCAACATTTTGATGGCTAATCAGAGGCCATTTTGATGCCTAAACAGAGGCACCTTTGACAAACCTGTAAAATCCAGCAAAACCTAGATATCTCTCTCATTTCTTAGTTATTTTTTCTGATATTTGATTGCTGTTGAAGCTCTTCAAATCCCCTACAAAAATCCCAAATCGATTTTCAGTTTTCTTGCTCAAATCTGAACATTTTGAAGCTAAACAAGGCACCTTTGAAAAACATATAAAATGGATTTCTCAAATTAATGTATTTTTTTAGAAGTGGTTCAACAATGGATTTATCAAGGCACTTTTAGTGAATAAAAAAAATATTAAAATTAGTAAGATATTTTGTACAAACAATTGCTAAAACTTAGTAATAGGAATCATATGCACGCATGCGTCCCCCTTTTAAAGTTTACTCTAAAGATGAATTTTTGATCCATACTTTTTGGAATTCATGATCTAGGCGAATGTGGTCATGAATATAAAAAAAAAAAAATTTAAAATCTAAAATGTACATTTTTGGGTTTTTTTTTTTTAGGTATAAAAGGTCAATTAGTGTTAATATTTTTAAAATTAGTAAGTTGGTTTTTTATGACAAATTGCTAAAAATTAGTAATAGGACTCATATGCACACATACATCCCCTTTTAAAGTTCATTTTAAAGATGGATTGAAATTTTGATCCATATTTGTAGGAATTCATTATCTACGCCAAGGTGATCATGAATATAAAAAAAATAAAATTTCTAAAATCTAAAATGTACATTTTTGGGTTTTTCCTTTTAAGGTATAAAAGGTCAATTAGTGTGATTTTTTTTTTAAATTAGTAAGATATTTTGTATAAAAAAATTACTAAAAATTAGTAATAGG